CTCTTCTTCAACTCTTGTTATTATAACTAGTGACTGTAACTAGCATCAGCGATGACACACTTGAATAGTGTTAACGGTATAATTACATTTCATTCCATTTTAAAATATCATATAGCATTATTGTTTGTAACATTGTAATTAAATGTTACAAGATAATATATGATTACACGTACAAATCATCTATAATTATTATATGTATATGCGCAACGAACTTGGATGAAAATTATTTACAGAGATAATTCATATAATTATATAACTTATAATTCGCTGTACATATTACTGAATACAGTGATTGTTTTATACATCGCTATAATTACACATTTTTTAAATCATACTTATAATTATTTTATAATTCAGCTTAATAATAAGATTTATGCTTTTAAATTCTATAATCTTTATTTTTTCTCTTGTCTTGATTTCTTTATCATCGAACCTTTCATACACATTTTTAAAAGCACTTTCATATTATTAATATAATCAAAAATTATATTAAATGCTCCAAGAGGTGTTGAACCCAATTTTAATAGTATCTTTTTCAACGAGTTACCACAAATTACTGCGATTTAATTGTTTCTTCCATTTTAGAAAATTTTACAAATTTACTTTATTTTTTAAAATATCCATTCATTAAATATTTTAATGGTTAAATTTTTGATTAAAACTCTATAAAAAGATAAAATCCACTTACGTAAAGATTTTTTCAAATAAGAGAAAAAGAGAAGCATTTAAAACTTATAACTCTTTTTTTTTAGGTACATTATTCACTCATGGCATAAAAACACGGTCATCGAACTCGCTTTGATTACCATCTCGTTACCATGAAGCGATTTCAAATTTCAATCATTGAAGTCGCAAAGGTGATTGTTTCCGCGAACGTAAGCATCATCTTCTTCCTTCTTTTCAAAAATATTGCGCAATCGGATGATCATGAAATTCTGAAAGGACAATCAGCGCGGACTCTTTTTTTTTTTCTTTGCGAAGAAACGAGCGCGGCATTTCATCAGGATAGCGAACAAAGAAATCGCGGTGGGAGCCGTAGGACTCCGAACGTGTGTGAGTGCAATTCTGGAGTCGCGCGCGTAATTCCGGAGGAAATTATTTCGCTCGTAAAACGGTAACAGCGAACGTGGGACGCGTAATTCGCCACCGCGAGAGAGTGTCTCGAGAGGCCCATTGTCCCACCTTATTACTTTAACGCGCGACGTGGAATGACTCCCGACGTTATCTCGTAGCTAGGATGCGAGGTCCTTTGGCTGGGTGCCGACCTCCGTTTTTTCTTCGAGATAGAAAGAGATTTAAAACCGAATAAAATTTGTAAACTCAGACACGTTACATCAAATAAGTGGTATTATATATCCTCTATCGT